AATTTTTAGGGTAAGGATTTTAGAAAAAAGTATCATCTTATAGTCGGAAAAATACGGTATTAATTCCATCTTTTTTGACCCCAGCAATAAATCCAGATACTTCATGAAATTGAATGTATAAGTGCAATTCTGGGGAGTTAAACAATAAAATTCAAAAGAAACAAGGTTCCAGTCCTTTGAAATCCTTCTGAATAATTTATAGTCAGAAACACATGATAAAATAGTGCCACTATTTAAGCCAATATTGCAGGTTATCTATATCTGCATGGGAAGAAACTGGAAGTCCAAAGCTAAGGATTCAAGTATTAAAATCAACAAACAGGCATCATATTTTTAAGGATTTATGGTAGAGAGGGAGAGATCCAGGAAATAGGCTTGACTCTCATTTTCCATATCTTGCTGTTCAGTTACCCACTTCATACTGACAGGATTTTCATATATTATTTATTGCTCACAAGCCTTTCACATAAGCAAATAATTTGCAGTATTAAATGGTGTCTTTAAGTTATTTCCAGTTAAGGTCACTCTTAATAGCAATGGTCAAGCAATATGGAAGATTACCTCACTAATCTAACCCTGACATTTTTTTTAATTGTTGTGTACTGCCATGTCCTGAATGTTTTTCATAAGGATTTCTAGAAATGCTGCAGAATATAAATTCTGAATGTTCTGTCCACAGGAACAGTTTGAGTTTGCCCTGACAGCAGTTGCAGAAGAAGTGAACGCAATACTCAAAGCGCTTCCGCAGTGAGCAGCCTGTGGTCTGTTAACTGGGGGTTCCTGGTGTGGCAGGGTGGTCTCTCTGTTTCATTATTCTTGGTCCCTGTGAATGTTGTTGGAAACGTGACCTGATCTTAATTGTACGTCTGCTGTTGTAACCACATATTGATTGGTTCCTTACAAATTTCTATTGCCAGTTCAAGTTCAACCGAGAATGGGTATATTGTTCTTATTACGATATTCCGAAATAATAATACACCGAGACCTTATGTGACCAGAACAATCCCTCTACTTCTTTTACATCAAAGAAGTCCTAAATTTCACACTTGGAATGCACGTGCACACCTTGTTCATAGAAAATATACATTGTTGTAGATAAGCAGTGCATTCAATGTGTCTCTGGCAACATAGTGTTATGTTTCTGCAACTTTTCCAAAACTGTATAAAAGGGGGGGGCTGTTTTTTTTTTTTTAAAGCATAGAGGTTGTTCTTACAAAGGCCAAGCAAGCCCACAGTACAATGCCCCATGTTTTCATAAATATGAGTCCTATTTCGTATATAAAGAAACTATGCCTTTCATGCTGTGTCTTGGCAAGCTGATGCTTTTCCTTTTTTTTGTTTTGTTTTTAACTTTTCAACTTTCTGTAATGAATAGAAGCAGATCTTAAGCTCTAAGTTCTGGGACTTGCATGGTTATAACAGCTATGGAGGAAATGTCGGTCATGTTAGCAGGAGCCCAAGTTTCCAAAAAGCACAACAAACTTTTATTGTATGTTGCTGCCCTAATGGGAAGAAGGGAGGCAGAATAATTTAACCTCAACAGATTTTTAAAAGCCCTCTGCTGACAGTTGTTGAAAGCTGATTTTCTTTCTATTTTTATAACTTAACATTAATTTATCTTTTTAAACAACCAAATATGTACACTGTTTTTAAAGATCTGAAAAGAGATTCTTCTAATAGCTTCTTGTCTGATTGAATTGCTAGCATCGTTATTTTAAACTATGGCAAGTTCTTTGATATATTCCTGAATTTGCAGAATAATTTAAACTTGATGTTATTTGCCTTCCCTTCTGATTTCAGTTCTTTATCACTTATATTGCTTGAAAGTAAATGATTTCAGAACTGCTGCCATTGTCTGTAAAATAGTCTGATAACTCCCTGTGAAACATACTTAAAAAGGGAACACTTAGGCTCTCTCCCAATTGGTCCTTTGCACATGCAGAAATATACTGTATGCAAAAAGATTTCCATGTGCATAGCATTTGTTGATTCAAGAAGATGGAAACAAGTTGATGGGACATGTCTTCATTTATTTGACGTGTAACTAAAGAAAAATACGCGTCAACTACTGTATAGTATAACTATTATTTATTTGTTTTAAGGCTTCTGGCATTTGTTGTGAATTTCATTCCAAAGTGTGTGTCTGTCCATTTCCAGGAAGATCACAGCAATTTGTGAATAAAATTATATGTTGCAGTTCTTGGGCACAGTCCATCAAACAGTTTCACTGGGGCTTACATGAGTATTCACCAAGTACTACTATGATATCTTCTCTCTTTACCTCTGCAAACTTCATTGAAACCTATGGAAGACCTGTAGCAGCAGCAGTCGTTCTACCCACTATCTGTACTGTTTAATGTAAGCTTAAATGCAACCTTCTAGTAATTAAAGAATTGTTTCAAAAAGCTTTGGATGTATTAACTGCCATGTATATTTTTGCACATTGTTTGTGAGATATATAAAATGCTTGGTTTGCACATTTCATTATTAGTCTTGCAAAGCAGTTAAATTGGACTCTTTTATCCTCTTTGTATATACTTCCTATACATTTAATCACATGGTAGTGTGATAATATCAACTTTTTACGAGTAGTCAAATAATAAGTAAAAGAGAAAAAGAGAAAAAAATATCCTTTATTTTTAACTGGTAAAGAATAGGAATTGGGGAAGACAAAAATCAACTGCAGTGATATCTGCCAGAATTTATATTAGGCTTACTGGAGTTAAACAATATATTATGGATTCCTCACAGATTAACATCTACATCAAAATGAACATGAACATTCTGAAGAAGCAAGCATCACACACAGTTCTTCATTATTAGATACAGTGTTCTTGGGAATATTGTTTTATTAGCCTAGAAGGAAATAATTAAGGGCATATTCAGGTGGTCTACATTTAGGAGATCCAGGACAATGTTTAATTAGAATCCCAATAGTATAGTCATTGTTTCAGCCTGCAATCTTCAGTCTATAAGGCTGGTTTCTCATGGTAAACATAGAATCTTGGATAGAGCAGATTTTTTCCAATTGTTCTTTCTCTGTTTCTCATTGTTGTCACTACCTAGAAGGTCCTACCAGTTGAATTTGCCCATATAATTTAAATCTACCACTCTGGTGAAGTGCCTAGTCTTCTAGCAACAATAATGTACTTTCAACCATTTAGCTACAGTTGACTATCAGTACTGGAGAACTATGGCCAGTTGTTTCCAACAAGCTAAAATGTGAAACCACAGTTTATATCCTACATGTCTTGGCTGATTGAGAGCCTATTAACCATATCTAATTCAGATATTCTTGAAAGTTATGTTTGCTGTCGCTTCCTGGCATATTTTTCACTTCATAGCTTGCGCACAAAAAAAGGAGGGAAGCAACTGCATGCTAGGAAAGAATAGGCATTTGCATATCTTTTTAAATTGGGATATGATTGTCCAAATGTATTCTCTGCATTGACTCTACAGCAGGTAATACTTCAATTCTTCTTCTTCATTTATAATTTGAAATTAAGATGAAGTTGAATGTGTTTCTATATCACACAAGAGAAAGGTCCTGATATGATTACTATATACAACAAACAGTCTCCCCAAACTAGTACATGGTAGATCTCATCAACTTCTTTTTTTTAGGAAAAGGAAGGTGAACTCAACCCAGCCCCCTACCATCCCCTCAAGTTGGCATGTCTCAGATGATTGGCATTATCGGGCTACCTGTCCAACATTACAACCCATGCAATTCCTGGCTAAATAATTATTTTAATTACTTCCAAGCTTCCTTTTAAGGCAAAAGCCAATTCAAACTGGCTTACAAAATACAATAACATCCAAAAATAAAACACACGAAGTCTAGCAATTATAAAACCTGTCACCCAAAAAGCAGGATAAACTTTTGGCTTGATGTAGGTGAAGCCTGTATTCAAACAAGGGTCTGAAGATTTAAATAATGCTCATAGAAGGACAACTAATAAAGTTGGTGTAACAGGCTACCAACGTGAGACACTATATACTGTGTGCAGGTTGGATTACATGAATATGGAACCTGCTTTCATACCCATATGCACACTTTCTCACTTGTGCATGCAGATATTAAAACAAGTTTTGTGACAGGGTGCAGAAATGTTAGTTGAGGGGATATTTTAGCGTTTCCTTTAAACAGCTCCCTGGTTCACAGGTTTGGCATTCTTGCAGATGTCTCTAATAAAAGTTGAGAACAAATATACTTTTCTCTTGCAATTGTTAGGAGAGATTTTACACTTATTACTCATCTTTCTAAAGGATAAGTTCGCAGAGCCTAAGCTACAACTGGTTCACAGAGCTATCTTGAATTATGTTTTTAAAAATGTATTTTATCTATGGACTGTAGAATGCCATTATGGATCTGGATTTTGAAAGGCTTGCAAGTAGCAAACAGATGAAAGTCAGATTTAAAAAAAAGTCTGAAGCGTATTCCTCCCTTCCTCCCGCCATCACAGTTATTAAAACTCTGAGGGGAAATGTTGATTGCACATCTTTCCTCAAATACATGCATAAACCTCTGCCTTCACATCCCACGGAGAAATGACAGCAATATTATCTTTAATTTGTGAGTTTGTGCTTTATTAATCAAGCATAACATTAATATAAAAGAGCCGCACATAATTACTGAGATAGATTATTTTTTTTATAAAAAGGATAAAACCTGTTGGAATAGAAAGTACAAGTATTTGATGAATTTGGTTACAAATTCATTCAATAATATAAAAGCAGTTAAATAGCTGCCTTTTTAAATTCTATTTTGCTTATATGTTTAGGGAACTCTTGAGAAAATCATTGTGATAATGCACTTTTCAAACAATGAGTTTCTTCAACCTTTTGGTAAATTAGATTGAAAACTATAATAAATTTAATTTGGTATTTGAAAGTTTTTTCCATCATGTGCTGTAGAGTTCTATATATACCTATTTGGAAATAAGCCCCATGGAGTTCAACAGTATTTACTCCCAGGTGACTGTAGGATTGCAGCATTAAACTTTATGTAAACTTAATGACTAAGCAAAAACTGTAACAAAGCCTTACAGACTTCATCTCATTAAAAGGATGGCACATTTTGCCCTAAGTGTTAGTTGTTTATACCAGCCTTTCCAACATTAGGCCCTTCTGATGTGTTGGAACAACACTTCCCATTTGGCAGAGCTATGGACAACCTCACCCTGGGAAACGCTGCTCTGTGCTAAGAGAAGAGTATATAACAATGAGTATGATCCACCAAGCACAGTTCTTGGGTTTCAGTCAATTGGGTCCATGATAGCAATCCTTTATTGCTGGTATCTGGTATCTCTCAGTTTCTCAAGTTCAGTTTGGTGTGATGAATTATTTGTAGGTGTATAATTGAAAACAAATCCATACACCTACAGAGACACACTCACCATATTTTGTTCTACCTCCAGAGAAGAAAAATCCCCCCAAAACAAGCCTTACTTATAATCATTGCAATGGGGGGGAAATACTGGTGTCATCCAGGAGATGGCTTGACACTAAACAACAGATCCTCAAAATCTGCTTATACCTGAAGGCTCTAGACTCTACTTGCTCCTCAGAAAAGCCCCCTTGCCTTCTCAGCTATTTTCTTCCTTCGGCATTTCTCTATGCCTCTTATTCTGTTGCTAACAGTGGGTGTTGTCATCCCATACTTTTCTTTATCTCTCTATGCTGTCCTAGAGGTGCATGTGCAAGGATTAAGGACTCTGGCCATTTTCCTTTACACCATTGTTGTACTATAGGCAAGCAAACCCGAAGGGAAACCTAGAACCAAGCAATAACAACTGGGTGAAACAAGCCCTTGCAACTCACATGATCCAGCAGGAGGATGCATCTCTTACTATGTCAGCAAAGATATTGATAAAAAAATTACATCTTTAATTACAGGTTGGTTTAAAAGCAATGCTGCTGCAGCATAAAAACTAGTATGTCACAGAAATACATATAGACTAAGAACCCTTCCCAGTATTTATGTACACTTCCTATATGCAGTAAGCTCTTACAGCTGTGAGCATAAAAATAATTATCTTGCCATACAGTCTATCTGAAGTGGGCGCAAATCAACAACAGCCTCAAAATGAGAGTTTCTTTATCATGTAGCCTGGTTAGTTAATGTAGCATTGCTGTGAACCATATATCAGTTAGGGGTATGTGCTGAACAAACTAACAATATAGATTTGTGACCAATTGTTAGTGGCAAAAGATTGCTTCTGCCTTGCTCGCTCACTGGGCCTTACAACATTATAAGGATACTTAGTATGTTTATGTTTTGGAAATACTTAGCATTTGAGAAGAGAATTTATGTAATGGGAGACATTCTTGGTGCATTGTGCTCAAAGAAGACGAATTCAGTGATATTTAGAAGAATAATAGAGTAAGTCTCTGATGGTAATATCTGACATTCTGAATACAGGCATGTTCGGCCTGATGCTTCTGCACTTTAACGTTCCTAGTGATGCTGATTTAGAAGGTGGTCTGTGGGACATGAGTGCTGCACTATAGCCATATCACTAACATCTGGACATCTCTTCAATTTGCTATTTCAAAATTTCATTTATTTCATAGTTTTATATACTGTCCAGCAACAATAGACAGTATACTCACAATCAAATATTC